ACCTGGCATTCTCTAGATACCTTCTGTCCTCGACCACACAGGGACACAACGGCCCCAGGAGGATCCTCCGAGGACAGCACAGAAGAGCCCTGTCTGGCCTTCTCACTGCCATCCCCACCGATGACTGAAGAGGTGGGAAAAGTCCCTCCCTCAAACGATCTCACCTGTGGATCTTCACTGAGGCCTAGAATTCTCCCATGAGAGCCACATGAGTAAGTAAAGACTTCCCTTTTTAGATGTCCTCTTCTGAAATGCAAGTTCCCCTGAAGGAGCCAGCACACACACTCAGATCACGCATCAGTTCCTTAGGAGGACAGAGATTTTCAAAGACCTCACCTTGGCTTGAAGGCCCTCTCTCTTGGTCACCATTTTACCTGGGGGGGTGGGAGGGGGCTGCTCTAGCTGCAGACTCACCACGCTTTGAGACAGGAGCAGAGAGTCTACATGGAAGGCCAGGATAATATTCTAATCTTGCTGCTGGTGCTCTGTTAATCTCGTTAGTAAAGAGATCTGAAGCTACAGGCTCCACACAGCAGGTTGGAAATGTTTCTATCTGCAGTGCTCCTAGGCATGGCTCCCTTGCGGCTCCTCAGGCTCCACGCCCCTGCGCCTGCTGCCTGCCACTCCACTCCTGCCTGGTCCCTGAGGGTGTGCGAATTAGAGACACACCAGCTCCTGTGCATGTCTTCACTCCTCAAAGTCCAAACAGAGCCTCGATCTTTCATTCATCTAAATCTCCACACCTGGTGTCAGGGTGCTCTGAGTTAAAGCTAGGTGGGACCACCACAGTTACTCATGTTACTCTCCCAGAGGTACCAAAATATCCCTGGAGATGCAGTAAGATGTGGAGAGCACTGTATGTGCTGGGAGGCATCTCCTGGTATGTCTCAGGCAGAGCACTGGCAGTCGATCCACCATTTGAGTTGGGGGATCAGACGAGGCAGAACCTCCAAGGTATGTCTGATCAACCCTGCAGAGAAGGGTGAAGCCTGCCCACCTGTTAGGTTTTTGTTCTGCTGAGGGGGTGGGAGAGGTTTACTCCAGGTAACTGGGTGGGAAGAGACTCCCACTGATAGTTCTGGGAAGCATGGGTTCTTCCTGCTCCTGCCATAGCTAGCATAAGTTGGCAAGTTCCCTGGTACTACGTACCTTGGCAGGAAATAAATGAGACTATTTTTAATGCAGG